GAAACAAAGGGAAGCTAATGTCACCAAGTATTGTCTTCCTCTTTGTACAGTAGTGTGTATTTAACAGTTTTCACCGCTGAGTGGCAGTAGACAGTCGCAAAGACAACCACCGTTTCCGTTGACCTCAGAGCCGAGCATCTACCATCAGCACACACTGCATTTAGTTTTCTTCAGTTACTTTGGTTGATCCACTGTCCACCATTTTTGTTACTAGGATGGTGGCCAATAGCTACCAGCAAAAAACAGAAGCAAAACTCTACCCCTGCTTTATTTGCGCAATTGTTGGCGCACTTTTACTGTACATTTTCCTTGGAGGTCATACAGAGAAAAATGCATAGTAAAAGCTAATTATTATTATTAGGGAAACTAACCTAAATGCAGATGATGTCATTATTATTCAGACATTACATTGTGAAATCAACTTCTCCCCCCTATCTCATGACCAGTTTTAACTTCTTTCTGTTCCATAGTTTACGGTCTTCTCATTTTTCATTGCACCTGTGTTTTTTGTTTTTTCAAGAATGTTTTTTTATATGCTTGTAGGTTTCTTTTTTTTATTGTAAAGTGTCTTTGTGTACTTAGAAAATATTATTATTATATTCAATATATACTTATATTTACTTCACATGATACGTTCAAGCACAAAAATCGCCTATCGTCTTTTCTTCTCTTAATAACGTTTCAATTGTAATCCTGATCATATAAAGATCCCGTTCAGGACTGTGTGTAGCTTCCTGTCCGTTAGCGACTCTGTGGTGCTGATTTAAAATGGAATTGGCACAGAGCGCTGCGGCTCCTGTCGATTCCTGCATTCATTATTAATCTGGTCCCCGGGCCTCCGGACAGCATTAAAGCATTACATTAAAACACTACACATGCTTCCTATTAATTATAAACCACTGGATGAGTGGAGATAGTTTTGTCAGCTGTGCTTCAGGGGATATTAATGCAGCAGGAAGACTTTAGAAAGTTATCCATGTAGAAATGAAAGCTCTTTTTTCTCAAATACCCACGATAATCACACAACCTTTTACTCCAAGTTGGACATCAAATGTTAAAGAGCTTTTCTAATGGTCTCTCCCTCACATCCCAGTTCCTCCAGTATGAATAAGCACTGGGAGGCGGAGCTGGAGGCTCTGAAGGGGAACAACGCCAAGCTGACGGCCGCTCTGCTGGAGTCCTCGGCCAACGTGAAGCAGTGGAAGCAGCAGCTGGGGGCGTACCAGGAGGAGGCGGAGCGGCTGCACAAACGGGTAACACTGCACACATGATCCCATCCTTTGAAAGCTCACCTATCATGCTATATTTGAACAATATATTATAGTGCCATATCTATACAAAACATGTCTCTGAAGTGTTTTGCTCAAAATACAGATCACCTATTGTAGCCATGCGACATACCCCTCTATTTCAGCCCTGTTACAAAAGGGCCGATTCTGGGTCAGTAGCTTCAAATGTAACCGAGCTGCTGCTGGCCACGCCCCTTTGGAGCGTGCAGGCAAGCAGTGAGAGAGAAGAGAAGAGAAGGATGATAACTCAGCAGATACTCAGCTAAACTCTGCCGTGATTAAACGCCATGTTATGTTCCAAACCACTTCAACGATTATTTCGGAAACAGTATGGAGCTCAAATGCTTTTTCTCTCGCCGGTTTACCACAAGGTGAGTTCCTTTTTTTATCCGGCTTTTTGACACATATTCTCTCCAGTACAGGTTAGCTATTGTTTCTGATAGCAACGTTTCTGATAGGGCTGTGGGTGTAAAGCCAGCCCACATTTGAGTAATGTCGTCATGACCGCAGCAAATCCGGATCGGCTCCGTTGTTCCCCCCGTTTTTTAGAGATGTGGGTACGGAGGAAAAGAGAGAGGGTTTTATTTTCTGAAACTTTGTGAGTTCCCTGGCACACCGGGGACACATATTTATGTATAAAAGAGATTAGGTAGGTGACCTTTTAAAAGTTCATTTTGACTATGTTCTGATGAAGATTATTGTTTGTGTTCCAGGTGACGGAGCTTGAGTGTGTGAGCGGCCAAACCACAGTGATCAAATCCCAAAAGACAGCACTCAACCAAACCATCGAGGAGCTGGAGGCGGCGCTGAAGGCCAAGGAGGAGGTACAGGGCGTGTGTTACTAAGACATTCTAATGAAGTGTTACACAGCTTGTTTCATCTTTCATATTCATTCTTTCTCTTTATAACCTACAGGAGTTAGAGAGACTTAAAGAAGAGGTGGAGAGTGCCAATGGCTTTCAGTTTAAGAAAGAGTCCCTTTCACAGAAACTACAGGTGAGCAAAGCGTTACATGATAGCATGTGGCTGCTAATGCTGCATTCAGGTTCTTCTGAAAAGGCTATGTATAAGCGCAGCTAATACTCCGCCTTTATACACTTTGTGAATTTATAACTGCTATGATATCTCAAACTTTGCTAAAAGTGCTCAGAAGTCTTCACAAGCTGATGCTAAATTGGCCACTAAGCCACCATTTCCTGCAGTGCGTTGAAAGTGAAATACATTTGAAAAATCCATACCCCAATATTGGCTCTGTTGCAAATATGTTCTGTCTGTGTGTATCACCCTATGACAAGACATTTCAGTGCAACCTGAAATATCCAGTATCGGTAACGCTATTAAACATCAGACAAGCCATAGTTGAGAGTTCTATGTTCACACTTCATGTACATTTTTAACAGCATTACGCATTTTAAGATATTTTAAACTGTTGAAGCCTCAAATATATAGTGTATATCGATATAGATTTGGATCCTGTTTGATTCATTTTAAGATGTTCTGAGTTAAAGACTAGTTTGAAACTACCTTGATGCACTAAATCTTTAACATCTACGGTAAACCTGCCCGTGTTGTTTTGTCTCCAGGACACGGAGTCCAGGAACCAGGCGTTGGAGGCACGGCTGAGCGAGCTGGAGCAGCGCCTGGAGGGCCAGCAGCAGGAGCGCGAGGCGTTCAGGGACAGTCTGCGCTCGCTGCTGGAGCTGCTGGACGGGAAGATCTTTGAGCTGACGGAGCTGCGCGACACGCTGGGGAAACTCCTGGAGAGCAGCTAGAGACGAAACACTGTTAACACATTTCATCATCATCGTCATCATCACAGCCAGCGCCAGGAGGAAGAACACCTGCATGTTGGCCCTCACTGACAGAACTTGAATTAGTTTTCTCTCCACATGTATACGTGTGAAAGTTTACACACAACCTGATGCATTTACGGTACACACTTTTTTTGCTACGTCAGATTTGTACATGTTTACAAACCAGCCGAGCGAACGAGGCTTTGCTTGGATCATGCCTTCCCTCTGGAATATTCTTTACATAAAAAAAAAAAAATGGAATCTCCGTTTGCGGGGACATTTTGCTTCTTCAATCATGTAGACTTTTTATTATCGAGCTAACGAGCTGCGCTTTATTTTCCGGGCTTCACTTCGGTGCATTCAGCAGTCACCTGGAGCCGGGGATTGCTCCTTTTTCCTTTTCATCGTCAGCCAAATGAACACTAGGAGTCAGAGGAGAAGGACTCGAGCTTTTCTTCAACACTCTGATTCATTTTTAAACTCTTGAGGAATGTCATGAAGAGAAAACTACAAATGTTCCCGTGACTGAAATCCATCGAGGGACTGCCAAAAAAAAGAAAAAGACTTATATTCTTATACAATAGTTGAGCAATACAAAAAAAGGGAGCATCAGAGGGTAACAAACACTTTCCACTCTCACTTTCAGGTACTTCTACTCCTCTCTCAGACATGTTTAGACCACAAGCGATTTTATTCACTTTCTTTCTATACACTTTTTTTAAAGAATAGTGCACTTGTAAAAATGGAGTTTGTGTGTATGAGTGAATTCTCTCCTCTTGTTTCTGTTGCGACTTTAAGTGCAATGATTGAATCCTTTTTTTGTCGTTAATTATTACTAACTGTTACTGATGATGTACGAAAGCAAAGGACTTTATTTACATCTTGTTTTCACGTCATCTTTTTTTATTGTCTGGTACGTGGGTGTCGATTGAGTTTTGTTTTTATCGGAAAAAACTGGCAATATTTTTGAACTATTTATGAAAATGAAAGGAGAGTATAAGGAATGAAGCATAGGTTGGGTTTGCAGAGAATCTATTTTCTTTTGCCAAATAATGTTTTCCTGTACAGATTTGAATTGTTGCTGATGTTGCCTTTGACATGCATCAATGGTAGCAAACTAGCGGTACTTTCTTTTTTGTGGGATTTACTGTTGCCAAAAATTCAGCGACGTTAAGAGGAATGGTATATAATTCACCTGAAGAACACTATTTAAGGGCTTGTTGTTAGTTCGGGTACATTTGGGAGACTTGAATGATTTTAGCGTTGACTTTATCACGTTGAACATTACGAATATTGCAGCTTGAAAGGGAAAAAAAAACATTTGAAAAAACTTTTAAATGTTGACTATACCACATGCTTAAAAAACACAAAATTGTAATTTTGAGTTTTTAGTAAAAGAACAGTAAAATGAAACTAATGAGGTCGTGTCTTATTTTCACAAACTGGTCTTCAACACTTTCATGTTGCACATTGGCTCCTATTGGTGGAAGAAGTATGCAGATATTAACTTAGCTACAAGTAGCAATACTACACGCATTCAAAAATACTTAGTGACATCACTATATGTAACACTTGTGTTTCTATTAGCTTGTGCTTCAACACATTGTACGTGATAGGCTAAGGGGCGGGACATCTCTGAGCGGTTGATCAATCACAGCAGAGCCAGCCAGCTAACCAATTAGCAGGCTCGGCTCTGGTTTCAGACAGATGGTGAAAAGAGGTGCTGCAGCACAGGCAGTATGAGGAAAATAAAGAGCTTTTTGAACATTCAAGCATGGAGACATGTCAGAAAAGAGGCACAAAATACAAATATGAACCTGAAAATAATCATACTCTTTAAAACTACATTTTAGTGAGTTACAAAGCATCTTTTAAATAAGTTAAATGTTCAACCTTGATATAAAAAGAAACCTTCAAAGACATGTTGGAGCTTCATTTTATTTTGAAAGGAAAAAATATATAGAATTGGGATATAGAAAGCAGAGAGGAATGTCGTGATAGGAACCAAAAAAAGCAACAGAAAAGAAAACTTTATAAAGTACATTTACATTTGTACGCTTTTCAAAAATCATTTTAAAATATGAAGTCTCAATAAATACTTCAATACATTTAGGCATGCGGATATATCTTTACATTTCATTACAGTATTTGATTCATAAAAATTACTTTTTCTTCTTCATTATTGCACTTACGTTGTGATGGGTTCGTCCTAAAACCAGTCACATGCATAAGGTCATGAAAGGTCAAAGGTCAAACTAGTGTCTTGTTCAGGGTTAGAGAGAATCTACAAGTCTAACAGAAGGGTGTTTCTTTTTAAAAAAAGCACAAAGGTACCCAAGCTCAAATAGAAAAGTGACTCAGCAGAGAGGGAGTTTCTGCATCTGCTGCTGTTCTGTTACACATTATTAAAAAATGATTATGAAAGACTTCTGGGGAGGAAAGAAAGCAGAGGCTGAGCCGCGATGTCGTGGTGCTGCATGCAGAATGTTCTCAAGTCACACAGAGTTCAACACTTAGCAACAGTTTTCTGTTTGAGTGGCAGCTGACATTTTGGAAACAACGCTTATTTGCTTTCTTGCAGAGAGTTAAATGAGATGCTCAGACACCACTCTCATGTCGGTACGTTCAATATGGAACTGGTGGTTTATCAAGAATTACACTCCCAACATTAAAATCATCACATTTTAAGTTTTGAATTTCATATTAATGGTCCTTTAACTCTGGTTTTGGTCTCAACCACCTCCTGAAATACAGATAACCACAAAAACATGGTTGGCAAAAACTGCTAATGAAGCATAAATCTCAGCTTTGTGTCGTGTAATTGCATGTTTTCAGTTCTCAATACTGCCCCATGTGGCCAAAAGAAGGTGGTTCAATGTCACACCCTCCAAAAAGTAAAAAGATTATTATTGGAATATTATTAATCCATTTAAACAGCTTCTCTAGAAATATTGTCTTTTGTGGAATAAGGGCATAAACTCAATATTGTGTGCATGTAAATGCTGTCAATAAGAGTATTCCTTACCCGAAAAACACACGAAAAGGTTTGAGCTAGCCCTTTCCCCCGTGACCATCTTTATACTAGATAAACTAACCCTAGCTTCTTATTTCGTAAAGAAAGGAGTGGTCATCTTCTCATTTAACTCTCATCAAGAAAGCGAAAGGGCGACTTGTAGAAATAAGTCAAACTCTGTCTTTGAAATGGAGCCATGGTACTTCATGATTGACTGGTTACATACAGGAAAGTCAATGTGAGTTTCAGTTAAAAGACAGCTTTGACACATAATAAGAGACTGGTATAAAATCACACACACAACAAACTCAAACAACACAACTCCAGTGAGTAAATGAACTTGGAAAGCAAATGAAGGCAGTGGAAAGAGAAGAGACTCTCGGGTTATTAAGAAGACGGTAAAATAAATATAAACATGACACGTGATCTGAATGTTTTCAATCTGTCACCAGCAGAGGGCGATGAAGCCTCTTCAGCTGAATGGAGACACGTTTGCATCATGGATCCAAACTATAAATAGTATCTTCTTAGTTTGCTATCCATGTGTTTGAAGTATTTCAAATATTGGGTGTGCTTTTGCCCAGCATGTCCCCATGGAACAACTTGAAACTTAATATTTATCTGCACGTAGTTTTCTTTATGAATTATAAGGCTTTAAAATAGGGCCAAAACTGGAAGAAATTCTCTTTAAAGTGTCATAAAACAGAAAAGCAGTCAATTGTAACATTGGAAAAGCTGCAAACAGAGAATAAATTGCATGTTTGCTTTATAAAAAAGTGACTCAAACTATTAACCTATTGTTTAAATAATTTCAGATGTATTTCCTGCTGAATAATTTCACATAATATTTTAACAGTAGAGGTCCATAAAGTAGATTTTTATCTGTCTGAAAAACTTGTTGCAACTTGTAAATATACTATTTTAGTGTTCTTTTTGGTCGTATGTATTTGGATCTTGTAGAGTAATTTATTGGTAATGTGTTATAATGGATGATCAAAATGGAGGTTAATGGTATTCTTTAAGGGTGACAATCCTCTTCATACATTATATTCTTACAACCATCCATTCATTTTCACTCTCAAGTGTGACAGCAACTTCAGCCGATCACAGAGAGCGACCAAAGCTAGATTCAAGTAATCGTTATAGTTTAAATTGGTGCTGAATATATATATTATATATTTTGTCGAAAATACTGACTAGGTCATGATGGCATCGGTGGATGAGAGAAAGCAGAGGACGCACAAGTCAACAGATGCTTGTTTGTTTGTTGATTATCTGAAAACCTTTTTATTTCTGAGCCAGCTGAGCTTCTTAAAGTCTGCAGGTATAAAGTTTATTTGGATCTCATCACATGATCTCTCTCATAATCTACAGCACCATCAGACACAGCAGTTAAACTAGATCAGCTGTTTTCAAAGTGACAATAATAAAGTATACGTTAAATATTTATAGGATTTTTTCACCACTATTATTAGAACTATGCTCTAAGTTTTGGAATTGCATTTCCCATGGAGCCTTGGGGCGGTAAGTCAGTGAGCTGTGGGCTACAACTTAACATCGTGTTCTGAACTGAGCCTCTTTGAATTAGAGATATCCAGCAGATATATGGAGGTTTGTTGGCATTTGAAATGTATATATATATATATATATATATGTATATATATATATGTGTATTATGTCTTTCTGTTTAGATGAGTTGTGACGAGATTATAACTAACTTTCTGTTTTCAAAAACAGATGGTAGAGATTGAAATTGTAGTTTGATATCCTTCCTCCAAACTCCTTTGCTCTTGTTATATCACATCTTACTCTATATGTCACCTTTTCCATGTATTAGATTATTATTTTTATGTTTGACATGGTTTGTGTTCTCTTCTTGACAGGATGAATGTCCCAAATCAGCAAACTAAAGTATAAATGTAACGTTTTTGGGAATGACCTTTTTAGTATCTGTTTTTGCTGAGCTCAAGCTAGCAGTAATCCCTTCCAAAATGTCAAACTATTCTCCTTTGAAAGGTTTCCCATGGTGTACACGTTTAGGCATTTGAATGCACTGGAGTATACAGTACAGTACAAATGGTTGGAACTTAGTTGAATGTAAAAGTGTACAGCTCACATATATTCATAGAAGAGTCAGAATGCTTACTGTGTTGGTGTAAGCGTGAGAAAACGTGAAGAACTACTCACTTTCTAAAACAAACCCATCACAGCAAGCTACAGTAGGACTCTGCGAGAGGACTGACTTCTTGAGAGGTTAGAGGTTGTATCCTCGCCAAGAACGCCACAGCAACGACATACAAAACAAAGATTAGTGGTCCATCTTTACAAACAGAAGTATGAATACAAAAAACACATACTTCCGAGCGGTTTTCTGATATAAAAAAATGAAGGGTTTCTGTTCAAAGTGCACCAAGGTCTCTCCAGGTGGTTTAACCCCGGCTTGTCCGCTTGTTTTCTCCTCATTTTGGCTCCACGTATCCACACACGTCCAATGAGCTGATCTAGATCTCCCAGTCGGTGCAGGGCAGGCCTTCGTCCTCAGACTCAGACTCGGACTCGGGGGACGCCTCTTTGATCCTGCGCAGCGCCTCGTGGATGCTGCGGGTCAGAGCGTCGGCGGAGTGTGTGTAGCTCTTGGCCTGCCGCTGCTGCTCGGGCCGGGCCAGAACCTTCTTCAGCCGGACGCCCTGCCGGATCTGGGCCAGGATGTTGGTGCTGTCGTCGTCCGGGTCGGGGCCCAGCACCCGCAGCTCCGCCTTCCTCAGGTGGAAGCAGCCGCGCTTCAGAGAGTTCAGCACCTCGTCCATGGGGGAGCTCGCTGCTTAAAACGCAACGGTAACACAGTTAGAACTTCACAACACAAAGAATGTACTTTATTAACAGCTTAACAATGAACCCGGCCAAAGTATCTGTAAAGTAAGATGGAGACACCGGAAGAAATCATATGTTTCAGTTCTTTCTTAACTTTTTTAACAATAATTCCTAACAATTTACCTAAGAAGTTAAAACTACATGAATAACTGGTGAGTAAAGCATAACAAAAAGGTATACATTAATTAATGATCATTTTAATTGAATATTTAATTTTAAGTACAGTTTCTTCAAGAGACACTATAGGACAGACTTCATTTGAATAGTTTGTATCCTTGAGGTCATTGAATCTTTCTTAAAGTTTTCTTTATTTGTTTTAGTGTTCTTTTTTGTATTTTTAAAAATGAACACAACTTGATGAAGAGCACTTTAAACTGCAGTGTATGTATGACAGCTGCTCTACAAATAAATACTATTATTATTATGTATTTTATAAGATTTCCATGAAACCTAACCCTCTTTTTGATACCATTTCTTTTTCAGCAATAGTCCTTCTCTGTATTTTTCACAATAAAATAACTCTCCTTATATCAGTTTTCATTGTTAGCGGAGACGCGCTTTTTATCAATATTTTCTTTGTTATAATAAATGTCTCAAGAATGAAATGAAAGTGAGTCTCCTCCTCACCTCTCCACTGCGTGGAGTCCAGCGAGGATGTCTTCTTCAGCTTCTTCCTGGCCGTCTGCAGCTGACTGCTGTCGAAGAACCGAGGGGAGAAGGCGGCCAGAGGCAGAGACTCAGACTGTCGTTCATGACGCCGCACCGGGCTGGGGGGTTTCTCCCTGCCCTCACCCTGCTGCTGCTCCTCTGAGGGGGGAGTTGGAGGAGGAGGGGGGGGTGGGGGAGGAGGAAAAGGTGGCAGCGAGAGGAAGGGATGCGTGTCGAGGTTCCCCAGTGGAACTGTGGGTAGAGAGACGCTGTCGCAGCTGAAGGGGTCGGGGGGAGGAGGGGCGGAGAGTAGGGGGAGATTGGAGCAGTCCGTCTGGACGCTGGCTGAGTGAGTGCTGGCCGGCGCCCCCCCCCTCCTCCGGCTGGGAGGCTGGAACTGATGCAGCCGGCTGGACTTCAGGGTCACCTGGCCCGGGTAGCGCTGAGGGGAGACACAACAACAACAAAACAAGTGAGACACAAGATCAGTCACAGGCACGGGGAATACCACAAACTAAAAGATGAAGTTGAAAATATTGTCATAAACAGTTGGTATAAAACAGAACCTTAACCGAAACTAAATTAAACCCAAATTACCTGGTTAAAAAATTGAACGGAAAATGAACACTAATGACTTTATGACTTTGACCTAGATAGTTTGAAACTTGACCTTCCAGGAGATGGCGCTACGCTGTAATCGATTCCCAGTGAATCCCTATTGTTATTAACAATCCGTCTAGTGTGGAAATAACAAGAACATGATTTGAGTATTGTCAAATGCCTTTTAAACAAGCTATTCAGCTCAGGTTTTTAGTTAACATACTGTGGTTAGGATGACGTTTTTCTCCGAATGTGGTAGTGAGGAGTAGTCGAGTTTATTCCGAAGTATTTCAACATTAATGCCCATTTCTTACAAAGTTCTCCAACCATCTTTTTGGTATGTATATGAAGCTCCATAGGTCTGAAACATTATACAAAATAAATCAAACTAAATGTATAAACCTCCCTGAAGAAGTTAAACTAAAGTAAAACTCACTCTGAAATCTAACTAATACCAAGCTAGAAAAGTCAAAACTAAAATAAACAAAAACAAATGAATAATACCAGACTACAGACTAGGATCATTATGGGATGTTCTCACCAGTTTGAGGCTGCGCAGTCTGTCCAGAGTCCTCTGTCTGTCCTGACTCACTCTGGCGTTGCTCCTGGCCTCGTCTTCCTCAGCTTCTCCTCCCTTTATAGGAAGTGACAGAGATGACCTGATGTAGTAAAGTGTGATGGCTTGGTTTGGCTTGGTTTGGCTTGGTTTGGCGTGCTCGTCTGCGTAAAGCGGTTCATTTAGGAATTCGGGTGATTGAATCAACCACACCACAACCTCTCAAAAAAGGAGGCTGTTTTAGGTTTGTTAGTTTGTGGTATGAAAGCAAAGCATGCAGCATGAGAGGATTCTTGCTAATCAATCAGAAAGAAGCTAGTAGGTATTTGTTGAATTCTTGGCCTTTTTTGGTCCCAAGTGCTGGTTTGGTTTGACTCAGTTAGACTTGTTGCATCAGCCCAGCCCAACCCAAGGCTACGTGCTTGAGGTGTGTCTTAACTTTGGATATGAGCAGATATAAATCCATAGATGGGACAAGTGGTCAACAGCTGTGTAAACATCATTTCCCTTAAATTCTACTTGGCATGCTTAAACTGCAAAGGGAAACTGAAATAAACACAACATAGTTTGGCTGTAAAGGCAGAAAGTGCCAATGGAAAAGCTCCATTTGTGTTCTACCCCATGTATTTTGACAGTTCCTTTTTAATAACACACAATAACTCCGGACAAAGTGACACAGCAAGATACCTCTTTTCACTATTATTGTTCACAATGCATTTCTTGTGTGGGAAAAACAGCAGTGAGCTTTTATGAGGGAGACTGTGTTCTCTGTATGCCTGGAATGCGTTTTTTCACTGCGAATGACTAATATCTATTTCCTACACCAAAACCTTATAGAAATAAATATGAAAACTATTTGATATTGTGCGTACATCCTATCAGATGCAGCATAAATATGGATTCTTACGTGTTGCAGTGTCTGCGGGGAATCATCATGGCTGCCTCGCTGTTGTATCTTCTGGTTGTGATTGACAATACAGATTTCCTAGACAGAAAGAGAAGACATAAATGACGCACTGATCCAGCCTGTTCAGATAAATGACTCTCCAGCAGCCTCAACAACTGACCACTGTAAACTCTAGCTGTACTTCAGCTGTGCCTACCTTCTTGTTTTTGAGGTAGACCTTCTTGGTGGTGATGCGGCCCCTGCGGGCCTCCAGCTGCCGGGTCCTCTGCTGCAGGACGCTCAGTTCTTCATCTCGGAGGGGGGACGGGGGGGTGGTGTGATCGTCCTCACCCTTCATGGCATCTGGGCTCTCAAAGGCATCGTAGTACACCACCTCATCCTGCCGCTCTGATACAACATTAGAGCAGATACATTTGAAATGTTTTAGTAAACACTGATGGAATTACATTATAAGTGGTACAAGAAATATTTTCTCTTTGTTTGAAATTGATCTATTTTTTTTTCATGGGTCCTGATAAATAACCCACTGTACTGCTTTATATTACTCATATTATTTTCCTCTGATAATGTGTACAGCTTATCTCTTTTAATAATATTTACATCTGATAATATCCACGTTATGATCATTATGTGTATAACTATAACTGCATTTTTTGATATTTCTTAAAATGTTGAATTATTGTGTTAAAGTACTTCTCTACATACATGCCTCTTCAAACCCATGGGGACAAACTCTTTTGAATTGAATTGCAATGTCTTGTTACTCATTGTCATATATTTACGCTGATATCAACATAACTTCAATATCGCCTGTTATATCAGTAAGGCTTTATCAGAAATGTGCCATTTATAACCCTTCAGTCTGTCACCCCAGGCTTTACAAAGCCCTTGAATCCCAGAGCAGGTGCTCACCTGTCATCTGCCTGCGCAGACTCTGCAGCTGGGAGTTGAGCAGCAGCTCCTCGCAGCGCAGCACCTCCGCCCCGATGTCGTACAGCTGCAGCTGCAGCTCGTAGTACAGCGCCTCCAGTTGGTCCACTCGCAGCATGGCGTCCTCTCCCTCCTGCAGACTCTGCATCTACAAGCCACAGCACAACACACAATGACATCACTCTTCCACCACAGTCCAGAGGGCATATGCCTCAGGCTTCAGCAGCACTTCCTGTGTTCCATCTGTTTTGAACAGAAACGGAAATGGAACCAGACACAGTTTCTCTGTTCTCGCTCTCTTTGTGCTGTGCTGCACCACTCCTGCATTCAACAGGTACTTTCCACAATGTATTTACATTATGTAAGGCAAGGGTTTGACCCCAACAGTCAGTCCCATGAGTCATTTTGCTGCTGTACACCAGGATGTTATTCACTCCATTACAGGATGTCTGAGCCATGAGGTCACTTCACTAACATGTCCATTATCTGCCTTTTTCCTTCTCCCTCAACTTCTCCTAGTCCAAGTGTTTGTGTCACTCACTCATGTTATTGTCAAGCACATTTACTCTAGTACAGAAATAAGAGTAAGGGTACACTTTTGAAGTACTTGTACTTGAGTTTTATGCACATTTCTACCTCTGCTCCACTACACTTTGGACAAAATATTGGTATTTTTTCCTCCTACATATATTTTTATATAAGTTTCTTTACAGATTCAGATAAGTAAAACAACATTTAAATCAACAGATCAATTCTGATATGATATCGTAGACGAAGTAATACATTTAAGTATTTTTTTATGCAATTAATTAGACACTTTAACAAAGTAAAGTTAGTATTTTTAATAGTGGCATTTTCTATTTATACTGCATATTTCTTCCATCAATGGCTTCAAAAGAACCAGCGAGTCTCACAACCTTTGTTATGATGCTTTATGGGAGGAGCCTCAGTGGGTGTGTCGTTGTTTACCTCCTCTTTCAGGCCGTGTTTCCTCTGCTCCAGGCAGATTTCCTTGGCCCTCATCAGCTGCAGGGTTTCCTTGGAGACGGCGTACTGCAGCTGCTCCATCCGCTCCACCGCTGCTGCCCAAGCAGACTTCCCAAACTTCTTCTGGTCAGCACGCATCCGCTCAAACAAAGCTGCAACACAGATTATAGATAACTGTCAGAAATTGACTAAAGCTACGATTAATAGTTGTCATTACATCAGATGATTGACATAAGTTAAATGGGGACTATTTTCCTGATTGATACATCTTTAGGAGTTATTTCTAAAGAAAAATAAGCCAAAATTCCTTGATCAGAGGATTTTCTGTTTTTTCGCTGTTAATATCTTTTATCCTGAATATCCTTAGTTTATGACTGCCGACAAACAAGAGATTCAAGCTGAAACCTTTCACTTCATTAATTAAACATTTTATAGACTGACGATTAATCAATGAATCAAGAAAGTGATTAACAGATTAATCTAAACATCTTTATAATCAGTGGAAGGCCTAAACTGGGCACTTAAGCAGTGTTTTAGATGTGAGCATGAGTGCTTTGACTCGAGGTAAGTGAAGCCTGTTTCATGCCTGAACAGAAATCAGGTTGCATGTCTCCGAGCAGTTCATAGCTGAGAGGGTTTGAGGATTAAAATACTTTTGGAGGAGGGGGCCTTAGTATGTGAAAGGTCCTATATGGAGTGTTAACTGACCTGTATGGAGTGTTAACTGAACTTTGTTTTGGATTAAACACACAACACCAAGGTTCAAAGGTCACAGTGAGACGAAAGCTGCTTTAAAAAGAAAGGAAATGCCTCCACGCGTTTACCTTTCTGTGCGCGAGTGGTGGTCTCAAAGAACTTGACAGTCAGGTCCTGTATGGAGAGAACTGCGGCGTGGGCTTTCTTCTGCCACTCCTCGTCCTCTCTCCTCAGGCCCTCCAGCCGGCGAGGACCCAGGCGCTCCGTCTCCAGAGAGATCTGATGGGGTCAGAGCAGGGTGTCAGGAAGGGTAAACTTAGCATCAGCACAGATAACAACGTGCAGACAGACAGACCACATGTTATTTACTGAGTGAATGAGTGAATTGTGTATGTGTGAACAGAGTAATATGATGGCGCTACTTGCAAGAATCAGGATTGGAAATGCCTTTGTTAGCTGTGTGTCAAAGAGTGACAAACTACATTCAACTTCTAGCTGTTTTTAAAACACCAGCATGGTACTGTCCCTTTCACTTCACACACCTCTCTTTGATTGAACTCTCCCCTGAAAGCCCCTGGTACAGACTGCAGTGCTCTGTAATACCAGTAGGTTACAGCAGGTGGGGGTAATAGCGCTGTCTGGCAGCCTGTCCATGTTTATGTTTAGAGTGACACTAACCCAGTGTCCCCTACTGGGCTGCTGGAACAATAAATAAAGAACAAAAAGCTCTGAAAACAAAACAAGAACAATCTTGCAACACACTCTGGATGGGGTTCATATCACATGGCAACCACAGTTCACTTTTCACCAGCTCATGTTAGGCCATGTGAGAAAAAGTGAGAAACAGGGAAAAGCAGTGCCACGTGGAGTCCTGTCAAACCCCTCCTCCACTGAAATGTACACACACATTAACTCCCTCTGAGGGCCTCATGCACACACACTCATGTATTAATGTGTCAATGTAAAACAGATGTGTGTAGGTGCTTAAAAATAAACACCAACTAACCTCAAAGGCCTTGATTTACGTAAGCCATCAAACTCAGTGCTTTGTTGTGTGTGGATTCGTATGTGTGTATGTATGTATGTGTGTATGTATGTATGTATGTATGTATGTATGTATGTGTGTATATATGTGTGTATGTATGCATGTATGTATGTGTGCACGTGAGGCACAAGAACAGAGGAGTGGTTTTGGGGTGAAACTGCGAGTGAATGGGGGAGGAGAGATTACGTCACAGACGAGAAAGAAAAACAAAGAAAAGATGAAATCACTTCAGGAATGAAGGAAGTCGAAAAACAGAAAGAAAATATTAGCTGAAACACACGGTAAGGATACAGTACCAACATGTGAGAGGAGAAGAGCAGGCCTGACACCCACAGAGCAACAAAAGGTGGAGAAGTTTGTCCTCATCGGTCAGACCTGGTTTAAAAGCATCTGTCGTTCAACTCCTGCGTGTGTTGTTTTGTCAAAGTAAAGGAAAACATCAATGTATCAAGTCGCCCTTAACTGTCAGTCTGTTGGACTGGTTTTATGAAAAGCAAAAAGGATTTACACAACTGGCAAAATGCTTATTTTTGTTCTTGTTATTCTGATGAATGTTCCATAGTTTATCAAAGCACAACCTGGCAGATATTCAAATTGAGGGTGAGGGTCGTTATTAACCTTATTGTTAATCCAAGCCCCTTACAGATCTAAAAGTCTTTACGTTATAGTTGTAACATGTCCGTCTCATATCTAAATGAGCAACCTTTTCACTTTTACACACAGAGAAAATGCTGTTAACAATCATAAAGCACACTGTGATTCTTCTCATATCTCTAGCTCACAAGAGCATGTTTACAATTCCCGTACAGATTCAGTATGGCGTTTCCTTAGTACTATCAGTCTAACAATGACCAAACATGTATTCATATACTAATCTGTATATTTATATTAGCAATAGACAGGACATTTTGGTTGGGTTAGTATAGATATGAAGCTTAAACCAGAGTGAATCAAAAGAGAGGACGATAAAAGCCTCAGAATAACTCAATGTTAACACCACTCATCCATCACTTCTCATAATAACAGTGTGAGACAGAGAGGACGGATAAGGTCAATGAGGAGACACACTACACTTAATGTTGGTTTGTCACATATACTCGCTATCATATTCGACACCCTGAGCTACCAACTTGTCTTTTTGTTTTTACAACCTTTCTTATTTGCAAATAAAAGCAGCCAGGAAGTGATGGGGGAAGATGTTTCTGTGGTTGGTTTACTTTAACACCTCTGGTCGACAGCTGACGGTGACAAAACACTGAAGTGTCAAATGTGTGGGGATTACAGCATAGACACCGTCATGGTGGGGCCTTATCTCATTTGGTTAGAATAGTTTCAGATACTAGGCTGTGTTTATCAGGCAGCTGTGGGGGATGGGTGGATAAAACACTGGTGAGCTCAACAAACAAAAAGGTTTGGATGATGGACAGCAGACATTTAAATATGCTTTCTAACGAAGAGTCCATAACAAACAATGGTGTATTGTGTGTGTATATTATGAGCCTGATACATCTTCTTCCTCTGTGCCACAGAGTTCCATTGTAGTCCAAAAACTATTACAATCGCATCAATGACCCACATTGTTTTAATAAGTTTCTTTATCATCCTAACACAGCTAAAAAAGTTCCCAGGGAAGCACCATTTTTTTGTGCAAGTACATTTTGTTCAAATATACAGTTACAGGAAGATCTAAGCTTTTTACGAGATGTACAGGTGTAGAACAAAAAACTGTCTATTTGAAAGCTGTTCTTAAACAAATATGTCTTTTGTGGAAAGTATTGAGTCATTTGGGTTTTTTTGATTGGATATTATGACAAAAATAAAATAAAATCAGCCTTTTTATTTTTAAACAGTGGACTCTTGGGACAAGTGATAGGTATCACTAGTGGATACCTGAGGAAAGTATTCAATTAATCGATATGGAAATAATTGTTAATAGGGACCCTTGAGGAATAACTTGATTACTTATACACTATACTGTCAATATATAAATGTATTTTTGTAATTCATAAAAAGCTTGGGATACATCAACATTCAGACTAATAACTTATTTAAAATCTTGCAAATTTGCATAATATCTATCCAAATGTATGTAAGATTTGCCCGTCAGCTAAGGGTAAACACAGCAGGTGTATAAGTAACCGCCCCGTGACGACCGTTGCCATGTGATAATGCAGTCGAAACAGTAACTGGAGCTCACTGCGCTACAAAAGTATAACAAACCACATTTTTTATTCATGTCTGCCCTCTGACCTTCTGGGCAGCAGGACACTGCAGTCCTCCAACACGCATTAAGGCTGTCCAACAATGCTCCATTCAGCAAAATACTTGACACCTTTTGTTGAGGATTCATTCAGGTGAGCTTTCATTCACCGATCCATCTGCTCTCTCATTCATTGATTCAGTTGAGCTTAGATGTCAACTACTCAGAGGAGTACAAAGAGATAACGATACAGAGAAGAGACAGCTGATTATTTACTGTACACCGACAACACTTAGTCAATTAAACATTTATTCCATCGACAGGAAAGTAACTCTATTGACAATTGATTCATTTTTTAAAGGTCCCATGTCATGGCCATTTCTACTGATCATAATTCCATTGTTGAGGTCTACTAGAATAGATTTATATTGTGCAATGTTCCAAACTCACATTGGTTTCTCATACAGCATCTCTGTATAGTATGTGTATTCACTCTCTGTCCTACACGGCTTGTTGGAGCTCCTGCCCCCCCCCTCCCTATGAGCCCAGTGGCCGTCTGCGAGACAGCGAGACACAGCGAAACCCAGCCCGAACACACACACACACACCTGCAGCCTGGCTGGGAGTTTGTGTGTGTGCTCACACACACCGACTCAAAGCCTCGCCGCGTCCCACCGTCTCAGGGAGAAGAAATCGGCAGAGCTGCAGCTGAGAAAATATTGAGTGTGTGTGTGTGAGGAACATAACGGCTCCGCGGACGTAACGTAACGGCTCCACGGACCAATGGGTCCATTTGGGTATGGGCACGTCACTGTACCCAGGAAGAAAACAATGGAAAAAGAAAAATCTCCAACGAGGCGTTCTGGGGCAGCATAGACAGGTCTTTTCTGTGTAAAGGCCCTGACACACCAGGCAGTCACCAGAGAACTCGCCGACACCGACACCGACAGTTCCATCGACGAGTTCTCCTGCGTATTGGCCGTGTGTCGCACTGGAACACACCGCAAAGACTTCAGCCGAGCACGTACGAACTGCGCATGCGTGAGTGGCAATAACTCTCCTTACCAGCAGGCGGCGGTAGTGTGTATTCGTCATTCAAAATAGGCAACAACCGGAAGACAGAGAAGAAGAACAGACTGATATAAACAAACAAATAGCATGTGCGTTCCATTTTCACTCTCGTCCATCGAAAACATGTTTTAGAATATAAAAATACATGAATGATGAAATGAGCACATAAAGTGCAGACATACTATAAAATCACAGTTAATAGACCTGCATCTGATGATCGCAGTGTTCTGGCGGGTGTGTAGTTTATTGAGTCAGCAATGTAGTAATGTATGTAATGTAATAATGGCCACTTCTTGCTAAATTTACATTTCCATGTGATGCTTTTATCCGAGGCGACTCACAATAGGTAAATGAACAGCAGTAGACACTATCTCATTTACTTAGACACTGTACTTAAGGACAATGTTGAGGTACTTGAGACTAATCCTGCAACTTGACCAAACAAATCACGGAGCTCTCAGCAGAGGACAGCCGGGGACGCTCCCGCCGATATCAGAGATGTCCCTGCTATGTGTGGGAGGTAAGAGAGGACATTTAAGGGCTATGTTTGATGTCTTTAAGTATCACCTGCTGGGGTTTAGCTGCTGTCCTGTGCCTTAAATCGTTTGTTTACGTCCCTCACTTCCGTTTCGCTTCTCATTTGCTAGCTGAACAGCTGATCAGAGTGGTTTCTTGGCCCGATAGCTTGTGTCCGTATTTTGGCCAATTCAACATGTTGAATCGGCCATGTGTCAACCGTGAAAGGCCAAATTAGGCGTGTCACGGCCGAGGGTTCGGGACACACCAAATTGACTTTGGGCGACAAGGAACGCGTTGTCGCCAGACAACCGAAGACGGCCGAATACGGCCTGGTGTGTCAGGGCCTTTAGAGTTTTACTCGCTACAGGGTGTACTTTGAGGGTTTGTGACTCTGCACACCGTTTACATGCAGAAAAACCTTCATAACACACAAGGGGACGGGTA